TGGTCACCTCTGGGAACTTCGATAGCTGGAAGCTGGGGAGTGGGGCGGGAAGGGGGCTGAGGGCATCTGCCCAGTGTGCGGTAGGGGGAGGGCGGGCCCTGAGGGGCCTGGGCAGAGCCTCATGGGGAAGGGGAGCCCGGGGCTGGGCAGGCCGGGGGTCAGGATGGGCGTGCCTGGGCATCTCAGCCCTTCCTGCCCAACCTGGAGGTGTTTGCAGACAGATCTCAGCAGCTGGTACGTGGCCTCTCGGGTCCGCAGCGAGACAAAGAGGAACTGGGAGGAGAGAAGGAGAAGGGATTGTCCAAGCTCTCACTCCCCTCCCACCACGGCCTCCCCCTGCCCACGGGGCCTGTGCCCGGAGCTCAGGGCTTGTCCTGCTCCTGGTGCCATGGGGGAAGGGCACATGGCCTGCCCGGGGCTCGCTTTGTGCAGGTGCCACAGCTGGGTGGATGCCCCATGGGCCTTGCCTCTGCTCTCACCTTCTCGCCCTCCGAGGTGCGGATGCTGAGGGCGTTGGGCACCACCAGCGCCATGTTGGCCTTCTTGAGGACAGTAATGGAGGAGACGGGTATCACCACCTGCATGGCGAGAGGAGGCCGTCTCACCCGCTCCAGGAGGGGCCCACGGCTGCTTTGGTGCCCCCAGACCCAGGTGAAAGTGGAGTCAATGGGGGTGCCGGAGCTGCGAGGGTGGGGTCCTTGCAGTGCACACCCCAGGACCAGGCTGAGACACACATGGCCGCCCAGCCAGGCCAGGCAGGTGGAGCTGGGATAGCTTCCTCCACACGCCAATGGCTGAGCTGCTGCCCCATGGTCCTTGCGGCAGCCTCTGTCATAGACACCCCGGGGGTCCCCTCAGCCCCTGGCACAGACGGCTAACCTGGGCTGCTGGCAGCCTCCGGCACCCCAGGCCTGAGGAGGGGCCCAGAGCCCCCGGCCCAGGCATCAGTGCCAGGCCTGGGGCTGGCGCCACCGAAGGCCACCACAGCTCAGCAAGGCTGCCTGGCGCCTGGGGCAGGGGAGCCCCCCGGCTGGCCCGTGGGACCCAGCTGGGGTGGCAGGTGGTGAGCAAACTGCTCCAGAGCTGGCTGCCACGTGGGGAGGGGAGCTAGAGGCAAACAGACCCCCCCACACCCTACACATCTCACCCCTTCCCCCAGTGCACCCCCCCCGCACACACCCCA